GCGTGTGACCACGTTGAAAAAAAAAGAAAAACATACCGATCGTTGACGTCGACGTCGAGACTCGCCAGTCCCGATCGTCCCTGAACACCCGCTCGCGCGCTCTTGCCAGACACACATGACCGTCCCGATCGTGTAATTACGCGAGTTAGAAAGCGAGCCATGTCTCGTTGCGACAAGAAGTACTTTCTCGGAGCGCACATCGTAGGTTGAGTATATGCACACGTATAGTATATAACATACATGTATATACACGCACGGCGGTGAATTCTTATCTTGCACTATAGTGAAAAAAAAGTGGGTGGCCTTGTCTCTTCCTAGCTCCGTCCCCTTGGCGAGAGACAAAGCCGCTTCGCTTTTAGCGTTTTGCGCTATGTTGCAAGATGCAGAACTGACCCGCGCGGACGCCGCAGTCTCCGGTCGGCAAGCCGCCCGCGGTACGACAGATTGACATGCAGATGTAATTGGATATATTGCAGTTGGATTAACAGATCCGATATCGTTTGCCCAGTCAGCAAAAAGAAACCCGCGTCAAAGGCGTAGACGTCTGTGTCAGCGTTTGTTTTAGCAGCAGAGTCTGCAGAATGTACGCTGTCGGCAGATTGTCGGCAGAAACCGAGCAGGTCCAGTTATGTGAGCAGATTTTGTTGTATTTCTGCTGACACGCTGGCGACATGTCGAATATATCAGTTCCCGCGTGCAATCTGCAGTCTTTCTGCCTTTGAAACTCGTAGGCGTTTGATGAAATCTCTTCTGACAGATTTGGCCATCTGGGTGTGTCTGCGTCGAGCTCGTGTATTCCCGACGAAGCCTGTCGATGCAATCTGACAGCATATTGTCGGCGGAAGTCGAACAGAATTTCACTTTGTAGACATTTAAATGGACTCGTTTAAATGATTGTAGAACAGCAAGACTTTGCCCGGTTCCTGCAGTCGGTTCGCCATTGCACTCGGTTGTACTCTCAGGGCGATTCAGAAGTACCTGCGCAAACTTTGAGGGAGTGGATTCTCCAAACAAGGAACAATATTGTATACACGTGTCTGGAAATACCTGGTTTGTGAGTTATAATCGAAGGATTACGTTCGACAAAAGCACAGACGTCATGTTTTACCTCAAGTTGATAGAATATTGAAGTCGAGGGGGAAACCGCTGACCAAAATCTTGCACACCAATGCCCACTAATGCCCCAGTTGGCGTTACTTTATCTTATATTTTATCTTTACAATGCCCAAACTAATGCCTAGTAATGCCGCAAATCTGTACACCACAATACCCTCAGTGGTTTCCCCCTCGATTGAAGTTTACAATGATGCGTGACCAACGTAACAAATTCAGTTCAGTTTATCCGCTCACAATTCATGACAAATGTCACAACCTTTCAGGGCACCTATTGTGGAAATATTCGGAATTGTTCAAGTGTCTCCTAGATTTCTATTGTGTTTTCTAAGGGAAACGGAATAATTCCAATCAGAATCCATTCCGAACATTTCTATGAGGTACCCGGGGATCTCAGACCTCGCCTTCGATGTATCCACGTCGCAGGTAGAATCTTATTGGCAACGTCAGTTGAGCAGAGCAATTGATGCGTGGGTCAACAACTTGTTGGATTTTACTTCCCAACCCTGTGATTCAATAATTCTTCAATAACTCACTTTTCGTAATACTTTCAGCAACATATTCCCACTGGGGGAAGCGTTGAATCTGTCGATTGTAACTTGTAGATAAGTCGGCTATTTCCAGACTCGTGTGTGTCCAACATTTGTCCCTTGCTTTCTGTATCGAGACCGGCTTCAACGTTTGTACAAGAGTTTCTGAATTATCCTGTGTTTCTGTCAGCACTCGACAGGCACGTTGAAAATCTATTCTTGACAAACTTGGCTATTCGGATTATCCAAATATCATACAGTGTTATTCGAGGCCAGGAACTGTTTCAGAGTAGCAGTCTAAGTAACTGTGAAGTATATGGCGGGATAATCTTTGATACACATGAGACGGTCCGATCTCGGTTAATAAAGTTTGAAATGTATCTTGAACACCGACATTTCAATATAATAATTTATGACGGGTGGTAATATTTCACCGAGGGGTAAAACGCTGATCAAAATCATGCACACCTATGCCCACTAATGCCCAGTGGGCAATACTTTATCTTATTTTATGTTTATAATGCCCCAGCAAGGCCCCAAAAAATGTCCAGTAACACCGCAAATCTGTACACCACAATGGCCTGAGCGGTTTACCCCTCGTATCTCACAATTTATGAAACTCGTTCTACTCGTTGAATTTGGTTGCTGCAATTAATATTACCTTAACATTGGAACTACCGAAGAAGTGAAAATGACTTGTTCTACAGTTTTGTTATAATTATTACTCATTTTTTAAACATTTTAATTTCCGCAATTTTCCCTGAATCTTATTTAAATGCGATGACTAGCTTTCTAAATTTCTCTTTTTCTTTCCAAGATTTTTATGTAGTATTCCGTGTAGATTAAGCCTGGTAGTTCTAGCGTTAGAAAATATTTATTTATAATTAGACATGGGAATATTATTTGCTTTGTTAATATCATCTTGTATGTTAATTGAGCTATTTTAAATTCAAACTATCAATTCTTTTAGTTCATTCAGTTTCACTGATGCAGTCATCAAATATATGGACAAATGAATATATATGTATATGCTTTGTTAATATCATATTGTATGTTAATTGAGCTATTTTTAATTCAGGTTATCAATTCTTTTAGTTCATTCTGTTTCACTGATGTAGTCATCAAATATATGGACAACTGAACACTTAAAATTGATGACATGAATTGCTATCAAAGCACAAGGGACTGGCAATATGCAAAGATCATGATAGTTGAAAATTCATCCTGAAATATTATTTGAAAAAGGACCAATGCAAAACAGCGGCAATATGTTTGGTTGTCCTAGAGAAGCTGTACGCGTCAAAGTTAAGGTATGTATGGTCAAAAGCGGAAACTTTTATATAATCTATACTTTATTCGACGCAGATATTTATATATAATGGAACAGTAAATTACAATGGCAAAAGATACTCAAGATTTCGCACGACAATGCGGCAGATAAAAATCTTAATTCTAAAAGGGCTATAATTGTTTGCGAAAAGTGTTCAAAATTGAATTATTAAATTATTCCAAGCTCGCACGATTAGGTACAGTACGTTGCAGTGGTGAAGATTTGAGAATCGCCATTCATTCATGATACCCTCGTACATGCGATAACTCTGGCAGTTCAATTGTTAAACGCTCACACTCAGGATTTTTAATCTGCTGTTGTTATTATTAAAAAGCTTAATATATTAATTAATCCATTTATGCAATAGAAAAAGTAATAATACGCAGAATACGGAGCACGTTATCGAGAGTAGAATTGATGATTGAGAACATTTTCACCACTATTTCAATGAATCGTGCCCCATTGGCGTGACTTTCGGACATTTCAATTCGTCAGCCTTGAACACTTCTCATTTAAAATCCATTGTAGTATTTTTGGTATTTTTGATACTTTTATTTCAAAATGACCTCGAGAGAGTCGGCTATCGATTATTGCAAGATTATCATTGATATAACAAATTAATTACGATACAACGTACAAGACACGTTATACGGCTGTGCACAAATTTGCTGTGCCTTTATGATATCTACTTACAATGTCTCTTACGAAGATTGACAGCGGAAATGTTCTTCTTTTCTTTAGAAGTGCGAAACGAGACATCAACCTGAATACCGCAAATTTAGTGTGGATCCCCAAATAACATCGATAGAAGTGCTGCAAAGCATACTCGTAAAGGCTTTCGACATAAAGGGGTAAGACATATTAATAATAATCTAATTTATTAATGTGATTTAATTGTTCAGGGATGTTTGTAAAAATTTTTGCGAAAAATACTAAGCAGCACATTTACACTTCGCCTGTTTCACGCTGAAAAGTATCTGAAGTAAAAATAGAATTTGCTACGTAGAGAGTCTTTTTTTATTTATTTCTAATCGAATTAATTAAGTTCTTAGAATAGGAACTGAACGCGTTATCAACGCTCTTATTGCGGCTCGTCAGCATCTTTTTGATATGAAGAATCAATAGCGTGTGTATGTGCTGTGTGGTACTCGAATAGTAAAAATAATATATCACATTTATCAGTTAGTTTTAAGATAAACTTTACGTTCAAAATTATTTCATTGGCACATGTCTCGATTTGTATTTAATACATAACGTTGAAAAAAAATTCTTTAGTTTAATAATATAATTCTTCGTTCTCTTTTTATTCGTGATGCAATATGAATAGATAATATGATAGGTGATGCACGCGCGTTATTTTTCGTCGCTCAAATCGTTGTAGCAACATCAAAACATCACAAAAGAGTTATTTGCGGCAAATGCCTGTATAAATATCCTTGAATTTATCGAAGCGTACCGTGAAATATTGAGTAGAATGCCGTAAAAATCGCTCGTATGCCGCAGGGAATTCACTGTCTCGTATCGTGCGATCGATGACTATGGGTCGGAAACGTATCTCTTTCTCCTCTCGGACTGGGATTTGGACGCCGCATTTATCAGGTACCCAACTGATTAATTCCGCTTTAATAGATAAAGCAGTATCAATTCTGTGATAATTATTAGCATCTAATACAATATCTTTCAGTGCGTCGGAACCGTATCTCTATCTGCAAGTAAACCTGAAACCTTTCGGCGAAACTGGAGACTGCGAGTGCTACTGGGAGCAAAATGCGCAGGAAGTTTCGACACGTCAGCAGGAGACCGGGTTTCCTTACAGGACACCCAAGTTGCCCGGTCTCATAATGAATAAAGTAAGTTCCATCGCGGCTTCAGTGACGATCAGCAGTCGCAGAAGGCAGCATTGAAAATTCCACGTACGCCTAGCACTCGTGCAGAAATGTCGAAGAGGGCAAAACGGGAAAAATTTACTCCTTCAGTGCATATTTTTCATTCGGTTAAAAGTCACATACGAATCTTCTCGGTAATTTTATTAAGATTGCCTCAGTTTATTTTTTTATTTCGTTTAGTCTCTTCATTATTTCTGTATAATTGTTTATCATCTATTAATTTCTTTATTGTTACATTTACTGCTTTGTTATTTTATTATTTTTTTCTTTTCATGATTATTCATTACAGTTAACAGGTGTATCCAATCTCGCGTTTAATCTTTCGTCACAGATGGAAAGAACGCTGAATATGGTGCAACGTGCATTGGGCAACTTGGGCGAGGAGTCGTCTCATCAGCAGAGTGTACAGCCTCCGAGACCGCCTCTGACGGACGCGGAGTTTCGTCGATTTCTAGATCCGATCGGCCAGGTGGTGCACTCGAAGGAATTGAGGGCGGTTATTTACTTCGGTGGGATCGAGCCTAGCTTGCGCAAGGTAGTCTGGAAACATATCTTGAACGTGTATCCGGAGGGTATGTCGGGTCGCGAGCGGATGGACTACATGAAGAGGAAGGCGCAGGAATACCAGAATCTACGCGAACGGTGGCGAGTGCTGGTGCAAAAGGGACAGAACGTCGGCGATCTCGGCTACGTCACCAGTATGGTGAGGAAGGACGTCCTCAGAACGGACAGGCATTACAAGTTTTACGGTGGTTCGGACGACAATCAAAATATAGCGAGTCTCTTCAACATTTTGACGACGTATGCCTTAAATCACCCGAGTGTAAGTTACTGCCAGGGCATGAGCGACTTGGCCTCACCCCTTCTTGTCACGATGCGAGACGAAGCACAGGCCTACATCTGCCTCTGCGCCCTCATGAGAAGATTGAAGGACAACTTTATGCTTGACGGCATCGCCATGACCACTAAATTCGCTCATCTCGCAGAAGGTAAATAATTATTAGAAACGTCTCTCGCAATTTATTTAGTCTTCAAGCTTCCGTTTTATTCGAAATACCCTACAATCTATATATTTTCATTTTAATAGAATAATATCATTATATCGTCATTAATAATTAAAAACTTGTTAATACAATATAGTATAGAAATACAGTAAACTTTGCTCTTTTTTTTCGTTTGAGAGTTGGGTCGAATGGCTTTGAATTAGTAAAAGGGTAGTGGAAAAGTGCTATAATATATATTAAATTCAGCAAAATCGAAGATAACTACCTTTGGTATTCTCCTTATGAGATATTTATATCTTACAAAAAAGGGGGATAAGATACGATATTTTCTTGCAGGTCTTCAACACTATGACCCCGACTTCTATTCGTACTTGAAGTCCCACCAAGCGGACGATCTGCTCTTTTGCTATCGTTGGCTGTTGCTGGAAATGAAACGTGAGTTTGCGTTGGACGATGCGCTTAGAATGCTCGAAGTTCTGTGGGCGGCTCTACCAGCGTCACCACCGAACGGCGAACTGAGTCTTGCCGAGGTGCCTTTTCCGCCAGCGTCGCCACCACCGAGTCCGAACGTGAAGCATATCCGCGAGAACGCGTACACCAAGGTCTGTGCTATTAGACGACAAAGTTCCTCAGCCAGTATTGCCGCCAGCGTGAGGCGGAAAGCCTTCAGCACCGAGGAATCAACTCTGCAAACGTCTACCGAGGTTAACGGAGAAACGAAAAGGTTCCCTATTTGCACAATTGCTCGTACTTGAAACAATTCTCCTGTTTATTTCTCTTTCGCATTGTTGATTGAAGTTCAAACGGCAACTTAAAGTAAAAATTCTTGTAATAAAACGCCCATTTTTAGATCCAGCTCGCCGTACGAAGCGTTTTCCGATTCAGAAAACGATCTGACCAGCACAAAAAACAAAAGGAATAACGAGTCGACAGAAAAGTGCCTAAGTACAGATTCTCTTCCTGTTAAATCGAAACACTCGAATCTTCTGGAATTGAAAGAGAAGCTGTCCGCCCCTAACAAAGAACAGACTAAGAACAATGAACAGAGCGACAACTCTGGCGAAAAGAAATGTGCGCGAGTGGTGAAGAATTTGAATGAATTCTTGAATTTTACTAGTCTCAATCGTAGTAAAGTGATGCCGAGCGATGCCGAACCTGAACTCAGGTAATTACCTTTGCAAGTATGTCTTCTGAATCAAGTTATTCGTGCAGATCGTATTTCTCAAAGTTAGGGGATTAAAAAAATATGATGTATGCCAACGCAGACGTGTCTCGAGCGAAAGCGGCGTCATCAGAGTGTTGAGGGATGAGCCGAGCTCGCCGGACGATCCTACGGATTTCTTTCCGATGACCACATCAATGACCAGAGAGTTAAGACTGGAACTGGAGTCGCTGGATCGACAAGTGTTCGGACCTTCTCCGCCTAGCGAGCTGCAATGCGACTGCGTGCTATCGAAGAGAGAAAGTGACCTACCGGAGAGCGAGACGGAGACGGAATTGGCGAGATGCAGTCCGGCGGCGGACGTGTTCGTGTGGGAGAACCCTTTACATACGTTACAGCAAAAGCAACATCCCACGACTCCGGACGAGCAGGCGGAATTGGAGTACGACGGGGAAATTTTGGAGGATCAGAACGGTGTAAAATCTGTCACGCCAATCAGATTGCTGAAACGCACCACTAGGTACGTATACGCACTTCCACCCGCAAAGATTTGAAAATTTTAATAAGCAAAATTTAAGAAATGAACTTTTGAAGAGTTTAGTTGCTCGTAAATTAAGAGCCACGTTGATTTAATTTTCTGGTAAGTGAATTTTTACATACTTTTATTTTTCTTATTTAACTTAAAGGTATCTTTATTTATTCCAGTAAAATTTCAAAGAAATCAATACCGAATCCGTTATAGGGAGGGAAAGTGTCATATTTGTTTATCGAAGCACATTGTTGTTCACCTTTTAGATCGGAGTCGGCATCAGATAGCGAAGGGACCGAGAGTTGGCATCAGAATCCACCTGAATCAGAAAGTCCAATGAAGCAGCAGCAGCAACAACAGCAGCAACAGCAACAATCATCCGTGCAAGAGCAATGCGAGGAAGCGACGGAGCTGACCAATCTCATTCCCGCGGGAACGAGCGAGGATCAACTGGGAGAAAGCTCGTTGCCGCCACCGAACGAATTCGGCGGCGGCAATCCCTTTCTAATGTTCCTGTGCATCACCCTTCTGCTGCAACATCGGGACTTCGTTATGCGCAATCAAATGGACTACAACGAGATGGCGATGCATTTCGACAAGATGGTTCGCCGACACAATGTGATCCGTGTGCTTAATCAGGCGCGGCAACTGTTCGCCGGCTATCTCAGAAGACATTCCGTCGCCACGTCCTCCTCGTTGGCCGGCACGACTTCCGCCAGCAAGACGGACTGCGTGAACGTGTAACTCTCTCCCGGTTAACTTAAAAAAAAAATACATCGAGTCATCAGGCGAAATGAGGCGAATTTCAGAATTTTATTTCAAATAAACAGGATTTAAACGGCACATATCACGGAAATTATGTCGCCGACTAAGATTCGGAAGGCTTAAGAAGATTTAAGGTAATTCTGTCACGGTGCTCTTCCCTTCGCAACGTTCGTGGGACATTTACGATACTCGCCGTGGATTTCCCGCAGTCGTATCACGCGAGCAGTGTCTCTGATTAACCATTCTTTCGTTTTTTTTCCTTTCCAATTCATACAGATAAGGTACTTTTCAAACTATCGAATAAAGGTCATCCGCTGTAAGCATTGAAAATACTCAAAAGTCTAAACGCGACAACGAATAAATGACCAATGTGTAACGCGAGAGCAATAAAACGCAAAACACGTACTTACAATTGCGTGGAAATTATATAAAACTTCTTTTCTTCGTAAGTAACAATTTTTCCAGATACGTCGAATGTAGAAGAAACAAAGACGGTTGATCAGAGGCAACAGCGCTTAGGCCCGTACTTATTAGCATTTAGAATCGAATGGATTTGATCGGGAGAGCTCGGGGTACAACGATCGGAAACGCTTGAGTTTATCCGCGAATGGCGCGCGTACGCCCATTCGCTCATGCACGTTATCATTCCATCGCGACATAATACACCTTATCATCCATACGCATCGACGAACCTTCTCTCGCTATACCTCGAAGTAGAATTAAGTCCCTAGCCTAACGCATCCGGGCGACGATCGCGTCACTTTCGAATGCGTTGAATTTGTAACATACACAACTATCCTAGCAGCTTACTTTGTTCTCAAACGGTATGCTTGAGAAACGACAATAAAGTGCATTTAATTTTTTCGCTGACAATGAACTTTCTATTCATTGCGTCTGGACCCGCTGTCGAAGTCACGAGGACACCCCAAGATGGCAAAAGACTCCCGAGCGTCTGCTGACAAGCGTGTAAACAGTTTCTGTTCGCCGAATAATTAAGTGCGCTTAAGTCTGGAGTAACGTCGTTTAAGCAACAACGCTAAACTGTTTGAAGGCAATATCTCGCGGGAATAAATTCTTTCTTTACCAATTGATACACAGGATGTGTAATAACTGACAGTCAGTTCTAAGATTTTATTCTTTTCAGTTATACTTTCCAAGTTTTTCCTTCAAAACAGGTTTTTTTTGGTAAAACGTATACTTTATCTTCTTCAGTCGTAATGGCTTCCGGATGGTTGCCGCGTCCGACGTTTCGCAAACATTGCAGTTTGCATCATCAGGGCTGGGAGACTCTGATACTTTGTTTTATCTTGCTTGTAATTAGGGATACATGTAATATATAATACTGACGTGTTACCTGTAAAATGGTAGAAAGGCTAGTGCATCAATAATACTACTTGTAAAAGTGGCAAAATTTCCACTTGTAAAAGCAATGTAAAACAAAATTAAACTTAATATTTCCAGTAGTACCTAGATATGCAATAAGTAACATCCTGTTATCTATGAACTGTTCTTTTCGTTTTGTCAATGTAAAATTGCAATTTTTCCCCGAAGGTCGAGTCACAAAATTAAGGCAAGCAAGATCGGTCACGACGAAGATTTCGTGTTACAATCAGCATTTAATTTCACGGTTCAATATTGGTAACGTTTCGTGTCTATCTCATTGTTTTATAACGCGCGAGTATGCGTCGTTTCAATTATTCCCGCGCGCTCGTATCGATTACAATCGATAGGGATATCGAGAGATCGTGCGCGCGTCGTTCCTGATCGCGATACTCGCGACCTCGCGATCAGTCGTAGTTTCAAGCGATACAGGGACACAGTGTCATTCTTGCGTGCGCCGTTCATCCGCTCCGACCTACGTTCAGCGTGCACTGTTGCAAACAATTGCGTCATGTAAGTAAATCACGAGAATTTTTGCCGATACTTCGTCCCGAGCGTGCGACCCCTCCGTCACGCTCGAGCCGACAAAATTTCGTCGTGCGACACTTCCAGGTAAACGAGACTTGGACGTGTAACGCGGGGCAATCGCGTGACGTGGTGCCGTACCTCCGTTTTCGTCCGTAGATCCTTCGAGAAGCCGCGAGAGCGCGAGAATTGAGGAAACGGGATGCTGACGGTGAGGCTCTGTCGGGCCGGTGTCTCGCCGGGGTTGACGTCGTTCGTTCGATCCCCGGTCGTCCCGGCGACGCCGCAGCTCTCCAAGGGTCAGATCGCGAGGTTGTTCGTCAACGATGGACGCAGCTCTTACACGAGGACCGCGAGGAAGCGAGCCACCGTGGTCGAGAGAGCGACGGCTCCGGCGGGCGAAACAGGCAAGTTGAATAATTTCTTTGTAAAGCCTGATCTACAGTGTACTCTTTGCATCTAGAAACATTGTATTCTAAATCCTCTCTTATCGATAGGAGCGCCTGTAAAAGTGACTAATAAGCCTTCTGATTGGCCACAAGCCACTTTTAGGCTGCGTTCCGGAACTTACTATCGGCGCTACTCAGCGCCTCATGGCAGAGAACGATCCGTAAACGCTTAAGCCTATCACACAATAGGAAAGCACAGGCAATAGGAACAGGGAAATAACACAGGCAACAGAAATAACTAAATTCCAACTTACTAAAAACCGTGTATCGACGCACAATGGAATCTGGAATAGGCAATAGGAACCGACGCGTTGGATTTCTGTTCCCTATTCCCTGTGCCTGACCTACCTGACTAATCGCAGTTGAGACTGGAACAGGCACGTGGTTTCAAAATGTAGATGATTGGATAGCACGCCTATTGCCAACGAATCATTGTGTCTTGGCATTAAGCCTATCACACAATAGGGAAGCACAGGCGATAGGAATAAGGAATAGAAACCTATATAATGCCAAGACACAATGATTCGTTGGCAATAGGCGTGCTATCCAATCATCTGCATTTTGAAACCACGTGCCTGTCCCAGTCTCAACTGTGATTGGTCAGGTAGGTCAGGCACAGGGAATAGAGAATAGAAATCCAACGCGTCGGAAATTCTGTTCCTATTGCCTATTCCATATTCCATTGTGCGTCGATACACGGTTTTTAGTAAGTTGGAATTTAGTTATTTCTGTTGCCTGTGTTATTCCCTGTTCCTATTGCCTGTGCTTTCCTATTGTGTGATAGGCTTTATATAGGTTTCTATTTCTTATTCCTATTGCCTGTGCTTTCCTATTGTGTGATAGGCTTTAAGGTCTGGTTTCACCAACGTAACTTGAAGCTTAACTTAATTCGTTCGCTGCCTATTTTCAACTGTTACTTTAGATAGAGACAAGCATGAACTAAACTGAGACTAAAGTTAAGCGACGTTGGGTGAAACCGGGCCTAAGACTGTCTTAGTCGTAGACGTAAAGACCCGTGGCCAAGTTCTATTTCCGAAAAATGTATAGCCAACTTAGCTATTGAAAGTATGTCAACTCCTTGCACTTAGAAGATCCGTTTCCTTACCCGATTGTCATGTTGTTTTGCAGCAATTAACGTCGGGAAAGCAGCAGTTGCCGGAGGAGCGTTGGCGGGATTGGGTGGTCTTTGTTACTACGGTTTAGGTCTGTCTTCGCGAACCGGCTCCATAGATCACGCACAGTAAGCAACCTGCATTTTCCTCAAATTTCTCAAGGCTGTGTTCACGATGCTAGAACCTGGACGCAGGCTTTTAGCATCGTGGACACAGGCCTTTAGTCGCCTGCAACTTTTAAGTGTATGCGCGTAGAGTTTTAATACTGGGCTAGTTTACACCGTGCACTTAAGCTGTTACATATACTCTATTAGACCTATACACATAAAGTGTATCAATAAAGACACGTATAATATAATAATGTTCACACGGTGACTAAATTTTCGCCAATGTGACCTACACTCGACCCAAAAGTATCGTAAACAAACATGGAAACCTACTTTAGACCAGGCTAAAGGTCAGGTTGCGCGAACGAAGCTCGGTGTAAATTAACTCGGAGTTTACTAGCGATATAAGAACAATATACGGTTTATTAAATTATAAACTAACTCAATTGTTACTTGACACAACCTGATCGCAAGATCAGAATAAAACGTAGGATTGTCTTCTCCCATACAGCCTATGGCCCCAATATGTCAAAGACAGAATCAAATCTACGTACATGTACTTTGGCGCGTCCATCGCGGCGACCGTAGGGTCCGCGGCTTTGTGCCTGCGTTCCCCTGCCGTGATGAACATAGTGATGCGTCAGGGACTGGTCTCCATAGGCCTGTCGCTGGCTGCGATAATCGGCAGCGGCATGATCGTACAGGGACTACCGTACGAGAAAGGATTCAACAGCAAACATGTAGCTTGGTTGATACACACCGGCATCTTGGGCGCCGTCGTGGCGCCCTGGAGTCTCATGGGTGGACCGTTGATCATGCGAGCGGCCTGGTACACCGCCGGGATAGTCGGTGGCTTGTCAACGATTGCCGTTTGCGCGCCCAGCGATAAGTTCCTGGCGATGGGCGGCCCGCTCGCTATTGGCTTAGGCGTCGTGTTTGCCAGCTCGCTCGCTTCCATGTTCCTCCCACCTACGACCGTTCTTGGATCCGGAATGTACTCCATAGCTGTTTACGGTGGTCTTCTGCTGTTCTCTGGATTGCTGCTTTACGACACGCAGAGGATCATCAAGCGTGCGGAGACTTATCCGATGTACAACATTGATAGACCATATGATCCGATTAATAAGTAAGTGATCGAAAAGAAAGAAAGAAGATAATCCCGAATAAAATTGTTAAACGAAAGGAGTGAAGGCTCCTGGGCACAATATTGCAGTTATCTTGGCTGGAAAAAATGTGAAATTTTCTTACAACGTACATTAAAATAAAAATCTTTTCAAGAATGCTTCTGAACACTCGGGAGCGTTAATTTCTCTCATAGAAAAGTAGTAAAAGTGTGCTACAGAGAAATTGCATAATGCAATGTTTTAGAATTTTTAGTACTTTTTTCTTTACAAAATTGAATTTTGAGCTCGTTAAGTAATTTTTCTATATAAGATAATCTGCATCTCTTTTTAAATCTACGATTATTCTTTACATAATGTTGGACGAAATATGAACGTGCTATCACAAAATGTTTGTTATGCTTAAGAATTATCTCGGTGCAGAAATGTAATGGTGTTTTTCTTCTTGCAGTGCAATCTCGATTTATCTGGATACATTGAACATCTTCATACGAATTCTGGGTATATCCGGTGGTAGTAAACGTAAATAGAGGAGTGGAATGTGATAAATTAAGGTAACATTAGGATCAAAATAACTTGTAAATTACACTTGTATTACACATACATATATTCAACTTAGTCGTAATACGTGCTTTAATTGAGTGTAAAAGCGACTAAACTAAAATAAATAAATTTTAACATGTTCGCGCTTTTATAAGTAGGTATATATAGATTTTAACTGAAATTAAAAGTACATCATAGTACAATATTACAAGCGACTGTTTGCAATCTCGTGGCCAGAAACTGTCATCGTTATTTAGAGTAAAACTTTAGAAAGCGTGTTGAATTTTATTCCTGCTGAACGGGAATATATCAAACTTTTATCCCGATTTGTTTGAAATTTTACAGTGTGGTATTTTGAATCGATTCCGAATAAAAATAGTGTGTTCTCAATGTTTCGCGTCGCAAATCTGTCATCTTTAACTTTGAATACCACTGGAAATTTTCAACATCTCGATATTCGTAATCAACAACCTTATATCAAATTTAAAAAAAATTTCTGTCTAAAGAAAAAGAGTTTCCAATGTTTTAAGTGCAATATGACGGTTTTGGCCCTTGGATAAAGTTCTTCATCTTATTCTAGCCGACTGTTCATTTTAACTCGTTCATCGCCGGTTTAGCCTGCACCTGTCTAGTTCGAAGATAGCTCGACGTATCGAACGCCGAGTTTATCTAAATGCGAAACCGCGTCGAGTTCGCCGGTGCCCTCGTTATTAATTCATACGCGGCGAGAGGCGAAATTACGACGAGGTGTCGGCCGTCGACTCCCGCCGTCCCGAATCGAGATCGACCACCGGGTCGATAATTGGCAGGTCTCTCCCCCCCTCGGTGGCGAAATCACGTCGTGTAGCGGAGAGGAGGACAAATCGAGTCAGCAACCCCCGTGGCGAGGAGTTTGCGCGTGCGTCCGTCGTCGTCGCCGTCGCGAAGGGTGAAACTGATGCGCGACGGACGAGGGAGAAGAACGGAGACGGGGGACATTGGTTGAAACGGGAGAGCGTTGGTAAGCGTCGAATGGGAAAGGGCGAGGGAGAGAAAGAGAGAGAGAGAGAGAAACGGAGAGGGACATTGAACGCCGACACCGTGGCCTCGCAGTCTCGTCTCGTTCGCGCCGCGCACGGAGGCTCGTCGCTACGCTTCCTTTTGTACTTTTGCGAGCTGTAGTCGCCAGCGATCGCGGTGCTCGCGGTGACCGTCTCTCCTCGCTCGCTCATCGAGTACCGCGAACTCCCAGCGGTGGATGAGAGGCTCCTGTTAGGCGACGCTTGGACGCGAGGACCGCGAGGAGACTCCTGCGTCTTGCGAGAGGAGAGCCGTGACCTGCCGATTGTTCGAAGGTGTAAGTGAATTGAACGGGGGCGTCTGCGCATCGTATAATAAGTACTTGGGTTAAATTGTTTTTCAAAAGCTCGACGGGGATTGGAAGCCGCGAGTCTCCGCGAGATGTTCTCGTTAATCCTAGCGTGGGCAAGTTCGCTTAAATAATATCTGGCGAATCGATCGGAGAGCCGACCGCCTAGTTTTCATCAAGTATCGGTATTTCGTGAGCAAAGTGGTTTCCTCTCCGGAAGGCGAACGCTTTTCTAAAGATAAACCGTTGTTCCCACTGAATAAGATAGAGGAAAGTTACCTAATATGAGATAGCAGGTTTTCAACATCCAAAATCGATCACAAATCGTTTCCGCAACGACTACACGATCTAACGATGAATGGTGGACCCAATAGAATAATAGATGATGCCTGTTAATTTAGCAGAAAACCCCACTGTCTCATATTAAGATCCTATCTCATAATAAGAGACTTTCTTCTATGTTATCGAGAGATACTGGGGGAAGTATAGATTTTTCCGACTTTCCTTCCCTTCTGTGGTTCTTTTCCCTGAGGGAAACTATGCAAAACCAGCGAAACGAATTGGTGTCTCGTCAAACGCACGATCCGCAATTGTCGGCGAGCAAACGCACGGCGCAACACGGTTCACCGTGCGCTATTATAATGAACAAGTCGGCGAAGATTACGTCAGTTTGAATGAGCTAATGGAAACTGTCGGGTAACTGGAACAATGTATTGATCTTCCAATAACGCCAATAGCTGTTCTAAAATCGTAGACGGACGACATTCGACGAGACACCGAGCATTAATCTAGCGGAGGCTCGGCACGAGATAGTCTCCATTATTTATATTTAAGTTATAGTAGAAAATAAGCGCCGCTGTTGTAAGAATTGGAGAGAGAGCTCGATTTATTAGTCCATTTTAGCCCTTTTTTTATCTATTCGATCTCTCTCACACACAGAAAGAGAGCCGCTATCTCCTTCTCTCATTGGGATCTTATTGCACCGCGTTAATTATTCAAAGTTGCAATTTATTTCGGTCAACTCTTTCTCGGTTTTTTTTTTCGATCGATTCTACATTTTTTTCTGTGGTCTTAATTTCTCGGCGCTATGTATGTAACAACGGTCGATCGAAAATAACGTGCACGGTTCTATCGCTCGCGTGCGACCGCCTCGGCCAGGCAAGAGCCCCGAAGCGGAACGCGCCGAGCGCGGCAAAGTGCATCTCGTTAACCAGCGAGGACGCGCGTGCAGAATTCGCGACACGCGCCGACGACGCTCTTTCGCTCCAGGCAGAAAGAACGGCGCCGCGCGACGCGACGCGACGCGACGCAGCGGATCGATCGATCGACGCGTGACTGTCTACGTCAAGAAAACGCACCGCCGGCGAGATCATCAGTCCAGACTGACGAAAACTCTAAACCGTTTGTATGTCCATGTAAATCAGCACCGGAATGAAATTTATCTACACGGAAAGATATAAAATTTTTAAGGTTTTCCAAGGGAAATTAAAAAAAAAACTCATAAAGTTCTTCAAGATGCCACGTTGTCCCACGATTACATGATTTTCAGGGTGAATTAAAAAAAATTCTCTCCAAGAATTAGTAATTTCTATCGGTCCATGATTTAACTTTCTGTTATAGTAATTTCTTCTTATTGTTAGTGAATTCTGCAGTGAATCGCGGATTCCAAAAAACTTAGGATACGAACTCGCATGAAAAAAAAATAAGTAAAGTCTTAAATGTGTAATATCTAGTAAAATTTTTCGAGTGGAATTGAATCTCTGCAAAGTATTTCGAATTTGTTTAAAAAATGCATATATATTGCTGCAGAACTTTCGAGGATCTCAGAGTAGCTCGATTAAGCTTTTGAGGAAAATATTCGTTGCTGTGCGGTAGTAGAGTCGATGAGGAATCAACTATATTCGGTTCTACTTGAAAATTCTTACAACATTGCGAGACTCTTGGTGCTATGGAAATGTTTTACTGAAAATATAATGAAATCTTGCTGAAATGTATGGGAAACTCGTAATTGATCCCGTTTCATTATCGTTGCATCAATATTTCAGTATAAAAATGTGGTGAAAAATCATTTCAAAAATTTTCCATTGCACAGTAGCGGTTTTAAATTCAATAAATTTTATTATATCTAATATTTCAAAACTTTTTAATTATTCTTCAAGTTACAGTTTACTTTAACTCTCCTTATATTTCGCAATACTACATTGAATTTCACGAGGAAAATTATGATTCATTTTGAGATGCATTCGGTAGCTTTTCAATAATTTTATTTCATTGATCTCCTATAGGATTTTCAGCAAAATATTTCCACCAAGGAGCCGCCTGTAGTACACTTTTTGATTCGGCGTACGCGGAAGGAGAAGGCGTACATCGCGAAAGAATACCCGAGGGGTTGGAAAGCGAGATGAGGGTGGCTAAAGCACCGGTAGCCTCGGGGCTGCCTAAGGGTTGCCGCGCACGTGCGAGACGAAGATGACGCTACGTAGACGACAGTGCCGGTTTAGCTGTCGGGCGACAATATACAGTTTCGGTTTTACGCGCACACGTGCCTTCCTTTTCATAAAATAAGAAAGAAAATACTTCAACGACACATTGTTTCATAAATTTGGTATATTATGGATGCTCTTCGAAAAAATTTTATTTGAAAATTAGAGATTTCACTCTTAGGCACGTCTGCTAGTTGATCTCTAAATAAATAGTGTGATTTTACTATTGCTTGAAATTTTGCTTACAAAAGAAACGGAGAAACTTTTGACAGCAGGAAAGAGCCGAAATGTGAAATCGAAGAGCTAATTTCTGTCCGTTCTGATTTCTCACGTTTGTTCCCAAGTAGAGCATATTAGTCATGAAAACATCAAGATGACATCATTTTTGATCAATTTTTTATGCATCATGGTGACGTCAAAATAACCCACCGAGAGCACCTATTTGTGGCATCAAGAAGACATCAAAATGCTGTAAGAATGATCTTGTTTTACAAAGCAAAGTTAATGAAATATTATATAAAAATAAATTGAAGTAATATAAGATAAACATAATACGGATCATGTAATCTGTGATAATATATTATTATACACATCACGAATATCATAAAACAGCATGTCATAAATCAGTCATCGCAAAGTCAATCTTGATGTCGACCATTTTATGACGTAAAATTCGTCATTTTAATGCCACATTGACGTTTTTGCGATTAACTTTGTTCTACTTGGATTACGCGTTCTGCATATAGAGATAAATAACACGAAAATTGCGCGATGCTGAAGGATAGATATAAGTCGACGTGTGCGATACGATATGCCTGTGGATATGAATTTTCTAATATTACGTGCATTCTCAGATGCACAACTCTTACCGCTAAGTATATGGAACGCACGCAACAATTTCAGCGATAAAGAATGCAGCGCACTTAACGCAAGAGCACACGTCCTCGGCGTCGTGAAGATTGTAAAGCCTAATCTACAATGTGCTCTTTGCGTCTGGAAACATTCTATTTTGCAGTCAATAAATACATTCAAAAAATTCGCGCGTGGACAAACTGTAGAGGAAAGTTCTCTATTATCAGATAGGCTTTTCAACGCCCAAATTCAATGACAAATCTTTTTTCGCAACACGCTTACACGATTTAACAATGAATTTTTTACTGAACAGACTTCGCTCCAAGGGTAATAAATTCATGGTGAAATCAACCGATGATGCCTGTTAATTTAATAGAAAACTCGCTATCCCATATTAGGATCCTATCTCATAATAGGGGACTTTCCTCTTGCACCGTACAATCGTACATCGTCGACAAATTTTTTAAGCGTTTCGATTTGTTTACATAAAATAGAATGTTTCTAGAGAGCGCATTGTAGATTACGCTTAAAGATCAGGCAACGCGACGCGGAAAGTTCGCGGTCTGAATATGCCCCAAGTACGCGTGCGAAATCACGCATTAGGGCGTTTACAGCACGCGTACCTTAATGCCCATTTTCACCGATGCAGGCCAGTCTTATAGCGTTTTCGATTTTCTGACTC